CCTTAGGGATGTGGTCTGCGTCTTGTATATAAGGAGAAGCCTTGGAGAACAGTCTATAGCTTATGGCATGCTTGAACCCTGCATGTAGCTGTATCATTGTTCAGCAGCCTGCCATGCTCTGCTGACCTAAAGACTTTCAATGGACTTGAATTAATGGCCTCCCATATGGCTTGGTAACTTCAGGACTGTACCTTTACACTTGTCAGCATTGGGCTTGTCAGCCTCAGCAGCCAGCAGCTGAGTGAAGAAAAGCCTCCAGCTTCAGTGGGCTGGGAGCATGAGGCAGAGCTGAAGCCCAAGGTCAAGGGGCTTTCACCCAGCCCCTAGGGACTGGCACTTTGAACTTGGACTTAAAGCCTCCAAAGGTTAAGAGAATAAACTCCTGTTTGTGAAGGCCAAAAAAAAAAAAAGCTGGTCCTACTCCATTTCACCTCACTGAAAAAAAAAAACACTTAAAAAAAAAAACAAAAAAAACACCTCACTGCTATCAAGTCGATTTTGACTCATAACAATCCCTCCTTAGGTTTCTGAGGCAGTATCTCTATGGGTAGATTGCCCAGTCTTCCTTCCGAGTAGCGGCTAGTGGGTTTGAATTGCCAGCCTTCTGGTTAGCAGTCAAATGCCTTAGGCACTACACCACCAGAGCTCCCACTATACTTAAGTGTATAAGGGGTGAATTTTATGTCATGTATATCTCAATAGAAAGAAATGTGTAGGTGCTTTTCTTCAGAGTATCCCATGTACTGGAGGAGAGACTTGTAGCATGAAGGGCCTGCATTTAGGAAGCCATTCTCTAAGAGGGATCCCACAGAGGTTCCATTTTTGGATTTTTTTATTTAGGCCAGTAGAGTCTTCAACAACTTCTGTCCCTGAAATAGAAGGAATTTGGCTCTTGTACTGAAAATGTCTGTCTGTAAAAGATTTTGCTCCTGAGACATCCATTCATCCCAACTTATTTCTTCTCTTTGTTCTGAAACCATAAAGCTGTTTTCTAATCTCTGTGGTATTTATAGGAGCTCTGGTGGCGTAGTGCCTAAGGCATTTGACTGTGTGCTGGTTATGTTTGTGTATCAACTTGGCTAGGCCTGGTTGAGTGGCTGGGCAGCTGGATGTAGTAATCCCCATGATGAGACTGGTAATCAACTCCATGGTGGAATCTACTGGGAGCAGCTGAGTAGCTGCCTTTGGGTATGTGGTCTGCTTCCTGTATACAAGGAGAAACTTTGAGAATGGTCTCTAGCCTTTGGCATGCTTGGACCCTATATGTAGCCGTGTCGTTTCTCAGCAGCCTGCTGTGCTCTGCTGACCTTGGGACATACAATGGACTTAAGTTAATGGCCGGCCATGTGATTTGGTAACATCAGGACTGTGCCTTTTTACTTGTCAACTTTGGGGCTTCTCAGCCTCAGCAGCCAGAAGCTGTCTGAGTGAAGAAATGCCTCTAGCTCCAGTGGGCCGAGAGCAGGAGGCAAAACTGGACCCCAAGGTTGAGGGGCTTTCACCCAGCTCCTAGAGCCTGGCACTTTGAACTTGGACGACTTAAAGCCTCCAAATTGTAAGAATAAACTCCTGTTTGTTAAGGCCCTCCCATTCATGGTATATTCTTGTCAGAGCGGCGTTAGGTAGCCAGAACAGACTGCTAACCAGAAGGCTGGTGGTTCGAACTCACCAGCCATTCCTCTGAAGGAAGATTGGTCAATCTACTTCCATAGAGATACCACCTCAGAAACCCAAGGAGGGGTGACTATGAGTCGAATTGACTCACAGCAGTGAGTTTGTTTTTGTGTGTGGTATTTATGAATTAGAGGCAATTTATTCTCTGTTATCCCTAAGCCAAGCAAGTAATTTTTTAAAAAAATCTGGACCATTGCTCTTTCATAATGTTTTAGTTGGCGTAATAAGCTTTAAGGGCCTTCTTCCTAGTTTTTCAATGAGCAGATCATTTGACATTGTTGAAAATATTAGTTTTCAGAGTCTTT